GGTGAGTGCGGCCGAGCCGGCAGCCGGGGGTCCCGCCTCCGTGGGGCTGGGCTGGGCGAGTGCTGCCCGGGCGGTTTGCCGGCCCCTCGGCGGGGGGGGGGAGCCCCTTTCCTAGCCAGGGTGGAGGGGAGGCACAGCCCAGAGAAAGAAATCCAGCCCCCCCACCCACTAAAGAACCGTATTAAAATAATGATTACCACCTTCATAAGCCTGCAAGCAAGCCCTACAAGGCACATTTCTCTCTCTCTGAGAAAGCTAAGTTTTTTTACCTTCCTCAAACCTAGACTTTAAGAGCAATGCCAGAAAGCACAAGCTGCGCTGGTAAGGGTGGTGGCTCTAGGTGGGGGCTGCCAGCCAGGGTGCAGGGCCACACCGGGGCAGTGCTGTTGGGTGGGCGAAAGGCCGGCCATTGTATCCACCTGGGGATTTCAACTAGGAATCTGCAGCGTTAAAAACGTTTTGGCCTGCTGGTGTCCGTTGGACTTGTCAATCCTGGAAAGTGAGAGCTGGAAGGGGCCTCAGGAGGGCATCTGGTCCAAAAAGCAGGACCATCCCAGCCGACCCGGGTCTTAAAAGTCTCCAAGCATGAACTTTCCACCACCTTTCTGTGTAACCCCCAGTGCTTCACCACCCTCCTAGTGAGGAAGTGTTTCCTCATATCCAACCTAAACTTCCCTTGTTGCAACTTGAGCCCATTGCTCCTTGCTCTGTCGTCTGCCCCCACTGAGAACAGTCCAGCTCCATCCTCTTTTGAACCCCTCTTCAGGTAGTTGAGGGCTGCTATTAAGTCCCATCTCGGTCTTCTCTTCTCCAGACCAAATAAGCCCAGTTTCCTCAGCCTCTCTTCAGAAGCCATATGCCTCAGCCCCCGCTCCATTTTCCAGCTCTCTGCTGGGCTCTCCAATTTGTCCACGAATTGGAGTTCTCTGCATCAGAAGAACTGTTGTTTTTAATTTTTTTTATAAATAACAAAGGGAAACTGAGCACCAACATTTTCCAAGGCAGGGCTTGGGCTGAATGAGGTTTACCTCAAGTCTTAAAGATTGCCTGTACATGTGCTCGAAGGTGGTGGTGGAGTGTTTTAATTGGAGCGGTTCCTGGGCAGCAGCTCTAATTAAAACACAGCAGCGTCTGGTGGATAAAGCCTCTGCGTGTTTAAAAATGGCTGCAGGAGGCTTTACCTAAACCTCATTCAATGCACTTGAGTTAAAGTGCCCTGTGGCCATTTGAAAGTGCATGGGGCTTCATACACAGGATGCTGTATCATTCTAATTACAGTGCAAAGGAGCACATGTATAGGCACCCAAAGAGTCTCTGAGAACAACTGTTCTAAGTGTTTCACGTGCCTACAGCCCCTAGCCAGCAAATGCTCACGCTGGTCTAGTGTGTAAAGGGGGAAGTTTGTTTTTTGGTTGTCTTTTTTTTTAACCACAGGGGAGAGATGCTGCAAATACAAACCAAACCTTTTTCTCCTGTGGTAGCAGGTGAAGGCCATAACTAGGCTGGGACTACTATGCTCTGTATAAAGAGATTAGAAATGTGTGGGAGGGGCTGCCACTCTGGAAGGAAACCCTGTTGACATGGTAAAGATTTTATTCTTGAGCAGGACGGGTTGTTTCAAGAGAAGAAATGCTCTTAGAAGTGCAGGTGGCTGTGTAACTAGTCATGCAGTTAATAATTTACATGCCTGGGTAGTGCAGTGTGCGGGGCTTGACATTGGGAGAAACAGCTGTAAAGACCCAAAATATAACCCAGTAAGTGAGAGAGAACAACTTGCGTTCCTGGCCGCTGGGGAGGAGAACTAGAAAACGCAGCCCATCTACCTGCTTGGGAGTCCGGGGCTTTCATTGATGTAGTGGAAGGTTGAGATTGGTCCTATATTCCTAACTCAGGAAGCAGATATGAGATCTGCATCGCCCAGTTTCAAATTCATCCCGTTTTATTTTTTTTGCTGTATAACTCGGTGGGGAAGAGATAAGTGACAGCTGGGATGATTCATTCTCGTCTGAATGCACTTCCTGTTAAGACTTGCTCACCCAGCGTGGCAGAGAATATCAAGAGTGAGCTAGCCTGCAGTCTGTTCTCTAGCCTTTGGAAAGATGATGTGGCCATGTTTATGTTGTGACAGAATCTTGTTTAAAGTCAAATGGCACATTTTGCAACTGTTTTTAGTTAAAATAAGGGTCCAATGTAGTGAGTTGAAGAAAATAACCCTCAGCAGGAGAGTTTACAGCCTAGTAAATCTCCATCTTATGGTAGACCAGAATCTTGAAGGTATTTAAGTGCTTAACGATGCAGATATGTGTTTTAAAATCCCATTAGGTCCTGAAGAACTTGTACTTTTAAAAAATTCACTAAAGGTGTATCTGTAACTTCTTAAGTCCCTAAACACTTAAATCCCTGAGGCTCAGAGATAGGTACTGCATTTACTCAAATATAAGATGACTGCAATAATTAGACGGTGTATATGGATAATTTATACATTTCTTAATTTTCCAGGTATAGAATCTAATTATTGGAGGTTTGCCTTGAATTTGTCCCCCTTCTACTGCTACAGCAGGAAAAATAAATCTTGCGGGGCAGGTAGCCCCCTTCCCCTTTGCTTCCCTTCCCCTTCCCCCAGCATCCTTTTTCCCCTCCCCTTACTATCAGATCCTAGTCTCCCTAAGCACATGGATGTGAAGAGCAAATCTGAAAATGATAACCTCAAAATAAACTAGTAGTAATTCACATGTAGTGCCCATAGACTTAATCCATACAGAAATGATGCTTCATACCTTTTTTTGAAACTGCTGCAAATTTTAGCACAAGTACTCCATAAATATATTTTTAAGCAGCATTTTTGTAGCTACAAACTTTATTTAAATTTTCTGTATTCCAAGTCAAATTAGCCAAAACAAATTCCAAATCTGAGAGTCAGTCCAGAACTATAAGTGGCCCTGCCTCCGGCAGACATCCTCCACCCCCATCTGGGGCTTCAGAGGTTTCCAAGTCCTTTGACAGGCATCCTACTTGCAGGCCCAAGCCTGGAGGCTTGGGGTTTGGATGCCCCTGAGTTTTGCTTGCACTCAGCCATAAGGCCGCAGGAGCAAGCTAGGGCGGAGTCTCCCCTTTCCATAAAGTGGGCATAAAGCCAAGACCTTCCCACTCCAGCAGCTAAGTGGAAGGTTTACTATACATTACCTTGGCAGGTACTATCCCTGTGCCAGGAGAACGGTCTTCCCCGGGTGCGACTAGGAAGACTGCCTCAGCAGTCATGGGTGTTTCCCTTGCCAGGCAAGCATAGGACTACACTTGATCTGAGCCCACAAGAGGCCGATGCATGATATTAATTTAAAGCTGAAAGGTTTGATTTGTCATATAGCTCATTGCGCTGGGCCCCAGCAGAGTCAACGGTGTTTCAAGCCATGTTGACCCTATCGCTTAGTACAGCTCAGTATGTGTGTACTCCAGATACCCCTCACAAAGGATCCATGCGCTAATTTGTCCCCCCACTCCTGACTGGAACCAGGTGTTCTTGTAAGTCCTGGGGTCCTCCAAAAATTTATATGCAGATGAGGTGCAGGGCAATCTGGTCCGGTTCCACCTCATGGAGTGTATGGCCACATTAATTATTTGCGATAGGCTGAGAGACGGGGTGACAGTGGGATTCTGGGTGTACTGTCTGGGGCCCTGTTTGGTGACGTTTGCCAGACACTTAAGGCTGGTGAAGAAATGGAAATCCTTGGAAATGGGAAAGAAAGGTACTGCTAAGCTGTGGGAATGAAGAAGAAATATATAAGCAGTGTAGGGGTTTCGGTTGTAGCCGTGTTGATCTAAGGACATAGGCAGACAAGGTTCCTTGGGTGAATTTGATATCTTTTATTAGACCAACCCAAATGGTTGGAGAATAGTTATTAAGCAAGCTTTCGGGTTCAAAAACCCTTCGTCAGGCTCAGGAAGTTTCAGCAGTTGGTGTGTGCTCTTCCTGGATGGAATGAAAAGTAAAGAAGCCAGGGGCTGGGCTGGGCTGGGGAGTCAGTTGCCAGGCAGATTATAATGTATCAAAAATCCAATGTCTATGTTTAGTCCCTGATCTCTAGTATCCAGCAGGTGGATGAAATGGAGCTCATAGGCTCGTCTGTGGGATGCAATATCAAGCCTAAATAAAGTTCAGGAGTTTTTCTCCAGAATGTCCATTAAGCAAACTTACACTAGCTACATTAAAACTATTTCACAGTGCAACACACACATTTATACAAGTTAAACAAAAGTCAAAGGGATTTGGAAGCTGCAGGCTGAAAGAAGCAGAGGAGAGAAAAAGGGAAAATGTGAGTATTGATGCTCAGAAGGTGTTTGGATGATTTGCTTTAACAGCCCCTTCCTCCAGTCACTTTGAGAGAAAATATATTGGATTTTGCAGGCCAAAAAGAGAAAAGTAGAAGACATTTATAAAAACAAATGCTTAGAGTGGAAATGATTTTCAACCTTATGCCTTTCAGAACACTGACTCCACAATTATTTGCTAAATGGCAATTTTAGGGCATTTATTGTATTTATTTCAATATGAGTAATGCATTATAGTATGATCAGGCACAATGATGACTAACGT